CCGGAAAAGCCTGAAGTTGTTGTTAAGGAGCTGCCGTGGTCATGGTATAGGATTAGTACCTCCTCCTCCATTTGTACACAGTAGGCTCGTGGGGTGAGGGCACAATAGGGACCCAAAGCCACTCACATAAACACGGGGGGGGGGGGACATGCACGTAGGACCTGTGCACTCTACTCCACATTAGCTAAATGTGAATACAGAGAAACACATCACCGACTGCTGGCCCTAGAAATCCACCCTGTGCACCCTCGCCCAGCAGTCAGTATATATACATATACTTCTTTTGTTTCCATGCTTTTGGAGGACAGAAGAGAAAGATGTATCACTTGGGGGCCTGGGTGGCTCAGTTGGTTAAGTGTATGCCTTTAGCTCAGGTCATGATCTTGGGGTCCTGGGATCGACCCCCACGTGAGTCAGACTCCCTGCTCAGCAGAGAGCCTGCTTCTCCCTCTCTCTCTGGACTCCCTCTGCTTGTACTCTCTTGTGTTTTCTCTCTCTCTCTCTCTAATAAATAAATAAAATCTTTTAAAAATTTTTAGAAAATAAAAATAAAAGTGATAAATTTTGAGATAACAATAAAATAATAATATTTTAAAGTGGGATTTTAAGTCAATGTAAAAATCAAGGTGTTTTCATTTCTGACTTAGTCAATTAAACATGGGTGTTAAGAAACAAAATTAACCTAGTACATATTATAAAGACAGACCATCTTCAGAACTCATGTTCAGGCATGCATATACATATAAACACAGCCTCCCATTTTACATCTCATTAGTAGGATGGTATAGAGGCAGTAATTATTTCTCCTTTGACATTATACTCTCAGTTTCTAGCCCACTATCTTCTTTCTTTATGTTCAGTGTCTTCCATCTTGTTGATTCTAAATGAATGAAGCTCCCAAGATACTGGCAGGCAAGCTCTTCTGTGTGGTGCAACTATGTATGGTCTGCACAGCTATTTGTCCTTTGCCTGCTCTGACTCTGTTGCAAAGAGGAACTGCAGTCTTTACATTTCCCTACATCAATGGGAGCACTGTTCTTCCCAGTATGTAAAGCATAGGCTTTATGCATTTCACTTTATGCAATGATGCATTTCCAGTATCTGAGGACTTTAACAATTGTCCATAAATATCAGGCAAATTGGGCTTTGATCATCTACCATGTTACCTCAGAGTTTGTTTTACAGGTGTGAAGATTTAGTGGCACTGGGCCATACATCTAGTAAGTGAATGTCTTCACTGTTTTCTGCTCAAACAAAACAAACTAAATCAAATTGTTTTCTCCCTAAGAGCTCTAAGATTTTGGAAAGAATACAACTGATGTCCCCTGAAATCTATATTCTTGGTTGAAAAATCAAAAGAATACTGTTTCCATGCCTTACATGGTTGCTCTGGGTTACTTCCCTTAAGATATAACCATGATGAGTTTAGAAAAGTAGTTTCTGATCAATATAGTAGAACTTTCCCCTTCTGTGAACTAGACACTATTTCTTTTAATGCAGCTTAAGATGGCAACAGATGGGATATGGCATTAAACACTGCCAGATGTTTCATGGTGTATATTCTGAGAGTCATCACTGCAACTCATGTAATTCTAAATGGAAGTGTAGGTCACAGTTGCTATGTATCCTAACAGCTCTCTATTTTCATCCCAAATCATTGTCAATCATGGCACTTAAATGCCTGGTCTATATTGTAGGTCTGAGAAAATTACCTTTACTTTCTCTCATATTAAATAGTGATCATTTCTCTTTTTTTAAAGATTTTATTTATTTATTTGACAGACAGAGATCACAAGTAGGCAGAGAGGCAGGCAGAGAGTGAGAGGGGAAAGCAGGCTCCATGCTGAGCAGAGAGCCCAATGTGGGGCTCCATCCCAGGACCCTGGGATCATCACCTGAGCTGAAGGCAGAGGCTTTAACCCACTGAGCCACCCAGGCGCCCCAAATAGCGATCATTTCTTGCCTTATAACTTCTAAAATTATCTATTTTCCCCTGTACACAGGACCTTAGCTAGTACTATTTTTATAGGAGCCAATGCCTTTTTCTAAATATGTTAACTAAAAGATGTTCTCTTTTAATTTTTTTCATTTAAATTCAAATTCAATTAATTAGCATACACTATATTATTAGTTTCAGAGGTAGGGCTCTGTAACTTATCAGTCTTATATAATACCCAGTGCTCATTATATCACAAGCCTTCCTTAATATCCATTGCCTAGTAACCCCATCCCCCAACCCCTCTCCCCTCCAGCAAACCTCAGTTTGCTTCCTATGATTAAGAGTCTCTGATGGTTTGTCTCCCTCTTTGCTTTCATCTTGTTTTATTTTTCCCTGTCTTCCCCTATGATCCTCTGTTTTGTTTCTTAAATTCCACACATGAGTGAGATTATAATTGTCTTTCTCTGATTGACTTACTTCTTTTAGCATTAATACCCTCTAGTTCTATCCACGTTATTGCAAATGACAAGATATCATTTTTGATAGCTGAGTAGTATTCCATTGTACATATATACCACATCTTCTTCTTAATGGGTGATGGTTATTAAGGAGGGCACTAGTTATGATAAACACTGGGTGTTACGTATAAGCAATGAATCACTAAATTTTATATCTGAAAAAAATAATAAAAGATGTCTTCTTAGGACAAATGCTTTTGAGAAAAATAGCCATATTCATTCTTTTAAACAACAATCTCTTTATCTCTATCCAATATGAAAACATACATGGGGAAAAATACTTAATTTACTTAGTTGTAAATTACCTTAATATCCAATTTGTTGGAAAAGCAAAAAGCCACCTTAAAATTACATGTTAGCTGTATTAACTATAAATCTGATAGTTTCAAAATGATGTCTGAAAACTTTTCAGAGAGACTTTTATCAAGTTATTTATCATAAATTACTAAAAATGCTGGCAAAATGTATGCTTTATCTCCTAACTCCTTTCTACCCCTCTGCTATAAAGCAGGATGGTGATTGTCTTATTACAGTCAAAAGAATGCAGAGTACAAACATTATATGATTCTAATAACAACATAAAATAGTCTGAGTAACTTTTTTGGATAATATTATTTTCAAATCTTTATGTAATTGTACTCAGTACAAAACAGGAGATTCATTTTTTCTACAAGGTCAATTAAATATGCAATTAAAAGTTATTCCCGCATGTCTTCCTCCCATGGCTGTCAGTGCAAATTCTCCAGGGTACTGATTTGTACATTGTACAGAATCATTCATGTGAACTGTATTCCAAATGGCTTTAAAATATTAAAAGTTCCATTTTACAATTTCTTTTGCTCAGTGATCAGTGTGGTGAATCTCCTTTATCTTGATAAAGGTCATAATGTTTTTTTATTCTTCAAAGTGCCTGATTTTGTGGGTTGTAGCAGGAAGAAAGAGTGAAGAGGAGAGAGCAGGTCATGAGAAAGAGAGCACAATCAACATCAAGAAAGAGATGATATTTAAGTAGAATTAAATAAAATTCCCCTCATTCTGGGTATTTCTTTCTACCCTTTGTAGATGGCCATTGTTCATGACGCAACAAAAATGTAAAGAAGGGAACCGAAAAATAAACAAATTTTGTCTTTATAATTTCAAACATCTGTTCAGAGGAATAGGAATGATTTTTATTCAGAGTCAATATATTTAGGAGAAGTTCTGATCAGTAGAAAAAATCTTAAGTTTCCCTACTACCTTTCCATCTCCCCAAAGAGGATAATCCTTTTGGACTGTTGGTGGGAATGCAAACCAGTGTAGCCACTCTGGAAAACAGTATGTGGAGATTCCTCAAAAAGTTAAAAAGAGAGCTACCGTACAACCCAGCAATTGCACTACTAGGTATTTATCCAAAGGATACAAACAGAGTGATTCAAAGGGGCACATACACCCCAATGTTTATAGCAGCAATGTCTACAATAGCCAAAATATGGAAAGAGCCCAAGTGTTCATCAATTGATGAATGGATAAAGAAAATGTGAGAATATATATATATATATATATATATATATACACACACATGTAGGTATGTATATATATATATGCAATAGAATATTACTCAGTCATCAAAATGAATGAAATCTAGTCATTTCCAATGACACAGATGGAACTAAAGTGCATTATGCTAAGCAAAATCAGTCAGGCTGAGAAAGACGAATACCATGATTTCACTCATATATGGAATTTAAGAGCCAAAACAGATGAACATAGGGGAAGGGAAGAATAAAATAAGATAAAAACAGAAAGGGAGGCAAACCATAAAGGGTCTTAACTATAGGGAACAAACTGAAGATTGCTGGAGGGGAGGTGGATGTGGGGGTGGGGTAAATGGGTGATGAGTATTAAGGAGGCCACTTGTGATGACCACTGGGTGTTACATGCAACTGATAACTCACAAAATTCTACCCCTGAAACTAATACTACATTATATGTTTACTACCTTGAATTTAAATAAAATCATGAAAAGAGAATGAAGATGTGAATAAACAACATCAGCAATGAAAAACAGGTAACTAATTATTAAGAAACCTAGCACTGAAGATTAAAAACCATACATATGACCCAACAATCCCTCTTCTGGTTATATATCCAAAAGAAACTAAATCAGCAGTTTGAAGAGATTTTTGCACTCCCATGTTCATTGCAACACTATTCACAATAGCCAAGATATGGAAACAACCCAAATGTTCATCAATGGATGGTTAAAGAAAATGTGGAATGTGTATATATGATGGAATATTATTCAGCCATAAAAAAGAAGGAAATTCTACCAGTTGTGACAATATGAATGAACCTGTAGTACTTATGCTAAATGAAATAAAGTAGACACGAGAAGACAAACACTGTATGTACTCACTCATATAAGGAATCTAAACAAAACAAAAGTCAAATTCATAGAAAGAGTAGAATGGTGGTCACCAGAGTCTAGGTAGTGGAGAAAAATGAGAAATGCTGGTTAAAGAAAGGGTCAAACTTTAAGTGATAAGGTAAATAAGTTCTCATGCTTACTTCAGCAGTACATACACTAAAATTGGAATGCTATAGAGGAGATTAGCATGGCCCCTCTGCAAGAATGACGTGCAAATTCATGAAGCATTCTATATTTTTCCACTTTCTTACACCACACACAAAAACACATTCGAAATGGATGAAAGACCTACATGTGAGACAGGAAACCATCAAAATCCTAAAGGAGAACACAGGCAGCAACCTTTTTGACCTCAAAAGTAGCAACTTCTTACTAGACACATTTCTGGAGGCCAGGGAAACAAAAGCAAAAATGAACTATTGGGACTTCATCAAGATAAGAAGCTTCTGCACATTGAAGGAAACACTCAACAAAACTAAGAGGCAACCTATGGAATGGGAGAAGATATTTGCAAATGACATATCTGAAAAGAGGTTAGTATCTAAAATCTATAAAGAACTTATCAAACTCAACACCCAAAAAACTAAAAATCCAGTTAAGAAACAGGCAGAAGACATGAATAGAAATTTTTCCAAAGAAGACATCCGGACGGCTAATGGACACAAATGGATACTCAACATCATTCATCATCAGGAGAATGCAAATCAAAACTACAATGAGATATCAACTCTCACCTGTGAGAATGGTGAAAATTAACAACACAGGAAACAACAGATTTTGGTAAGGATGCAAAAAAAGGGGAACCCTCTTACACTGTTGGTGGGAATGCAACCTGGTGCATCCACTCTGGAAAACAGTATGGAGGTTTCTCAAAAAGTTAAAAACAGAGCTACCCTATGACCCAGCAATTGCACTACTGGGTATTTACCCAAAGGATACAAAAATATTGATTCAAAGGGACACATGTACCCTGATGTTTATTACAGCATTATCCACAATAGGAATATTATGGAAAGAACCCCAAGGTCCATTGACTGATGAATGGATGAAGAAGAGGTGAATATGAATATATATATATATATGTATACATATATATATATGTATACATATATATATATATATATAAACATCCAGATATATACACACACATAATACTCATCCATCAGAAAGAATGAAATCTTGCCATTTGTAACGATGTGGATGAGGTTAGAGTGTATTATGCTAAGAGAAGTCAGTCAGTCAGAAACACAAATACCATATGATCTCACTTATATGTGAAATTTAAGAAATGAAACAGATGAAAACGGTGGAGAGGGGAGGCAAACCATATAAGGGGCTCTTAGAACAAACTGAGGGTTGCTGGAGGGGAGGCGGGCAGGGGGATGGGTTGAATAGGTGATGGGTATTAAGGAGGACACTTAACTGTGAAGAACACTGGGTGTCATTCATAAGTGATGAATCACTAATTCTACTCCTGAAACTATTACTACACTGTATGTTAATCAACTGGAATTTAAATAAAAACTTGAAACAAAACAAAAAATATAGGATGAATAAGTTACTGGGACCTAATGTACAACACAGTAACTATACTTAATCATAGTGTATAGTAGACTTGAAATTTACTGAGAACAGATCCTAAGCACTCTCACAATGCACATGCAGAAAAAGGTAACTATATAAGGTGACAGATATGTTAATTAACTTGATTGTGGTAATCATTTCATAATATATACATATATCAAATCATCACATTGTATACTTTAAGTATATACAATTTTATTCATCATAATACCTCAATAAACCTGGACAAATATCAAATAAAGGTAAAAATAGGGGCACCAACATGGCACAGTCATTGAGCATCTGCCTTCAGCTCAGGTGATGATCCTAGGGGCCTGGGATTGAGCCCTGCATGGGGCTCCCTGATCAGCAGGAAGACTGTTTCTCCCTCTCCCCCCGCCACTTCTGTTCCCTCTCTCTCTGTGTCTCTCTCTGTCAAGTAAATAAATAAAATCTTTTTAAAAAATAAAGGTAAAAATAATAAAATATAGTGATAGATGTAATAGAAAAATATGAAAACCTAGGTAATATAAAAATATTCTAGGGAAATATAAACTAGCAAGTGGCCCATCATGAAGAAAACCATAAAATTAAAGAAATAGTAGTTAAATTTTTAGAACCACAAAGATATCAGACTACTAAGCTTTTTTAAAAAAGCTAATTTCAACTGTGGGGAAAAAAACCTGCTTCAATATATAGAACAGAAAATAGACAATTTCTCATTTTCTGAGCTTAGTAATGTCTGTGATCCCCAAGAAAGAAAAGCACAAGAAAACAAAAACATAGATTAATCACACTTAAAACACAGAACTGAAATTCAAACATAGTATCAGCAAATCACAGTCAATATTTCATTTTAATGACCTCATCACCAATGGTTTAATCTCAAAATTCAAGGACAGCAAAATTTAAGAAAATTCACCAACAAAGTTAATTCATGAAAATAATGTATCTAAATGAGGAAAAACATAACTAAATATAGGTCAATATACCATTGAATGATATCCAGCAATCATTCATGATTAAAAAAAAAAACTTGGCAAACAACTTTCATAAATATATCCACCAAATATGTACAGCAAATATTTATACAGCATAGGATGCAAAGTCTAGGATAATTTACATTAAATTCAGAAATTTAAAAAGTCATCTCTTATCAACACTACTAATCAACCTTATCCTAAAAGTTCTGGCCACTACAAAAGATGAGAGAAAAAAATAAGTGGAGAATGAATGCAGAAGTTGGAAAATATGAAATAAAATATTTTCAGTGGTCATGATCATCTATATAATCAATCCAAGATAAGCAGCCAACAAACAGGTAGATCTAAAGAGGGAATTCAACAGTGGCTAAATACAAGATCAACACAGAAAACAAAACAAAACAAAACACCTAATAGCTACCCTGTATAGCAACAATGAATCATTAAAAAAAAATTATTCAGGACTATGAAATTTGAAATGGACACATTTGGATGGATTTGAATGAAACCGAGAACCATGAACTTTAAAATTACCTTAAGTCACACTTGCCAAATGAAATCTCCATTCCTCTCTCCAATCTAAGGAAGTCAGCCCTTCCTCTGTTTAAATATATGTATGTATATCTTTAAGGCGACTTCCGGGCGGGACTTCCTGCCTCGGTCCATTGGACCATGCTCCGTCATATTTGATTCTGGTTCATCTGAGAAAGGCAACCGGAAGCACTAGGCAGAGACCGTTGCTCCGGCGGTTTTTTCTCCAACCGAACGGACGCCATATTCAAGGTTGGGGCGTAACTCTCTCTTTGTAGGAGCTGTGTTACCTCAGCTTTTTTTTTTTCTTATCTTTATTTTTATGTGGTGTCCCTTGGTGTGGAGATTTGGTGTCTGACCGTGGCGTGGACAATCTTTTGCCTCATTTTTCCTCACACCCTCTGAGGCGCGCCCTCTCGGGGCCTTGATACTGTAGCAATGGCGGAGGCTGGCGGACAGATGGATCCCAACCGCAACATTGTAACCTTTGAGGATGTGTGCATATACTTCTCCCCAGAGGAGTGGGAGCTACTTGATGAAGCTCAGAAACGCCTATACTGTAAGGTGATACTGGAAAACTTTCTACTGGTGACCTCACTGGGACTTCCAATTTCCAGATATCATTTAATTCCCCAACCACTACCAGTGAGAGAGCACGCGGTTCCTGCAAATGTAGCCATAGCTCCAGCAGGGGCAGGGAGATTCAGGGGGAGCCACAGCCCTTGTCATAAAGTAGAAAATGAAGATGCATCTTCTGAGCTGGGTGTTTCTTTAAGAGAGTCACAGGGGAAAATTCTCAGCGTGGGTCCTTCCATCCAAAAGAGCCACCCATGTAACATGTGTGACCCAATCTTAAAAGACATTTTGCATCTGTCTGAGCAGCAGGTAACATCCCTTGGGCCTCACGCACATCCATGTGGGTCATGTGGAAGAACCTTCTGGGTCACTGTCAACACTGACCAGATCCCAAAGCAGAAGAGTGAAGAAGTCCCTAGGAGGAAAAAAGACCAAGATTCCTTTGTGAAGAGTTACGGAAGCTACAAGTCAGAGAATGCCTTCACTTGCAAAGAGGATGAGAAGGACTTCGTGGCCCCCTCAAGACTTGTCCAGCACCATGCCACTACAGATGAGGAGAAGCCATGCAGCAGCATCCATTGTGAGAAAGCCCTTTACACTGGACAAAAAGATTACAAGTGCAGTGAATGTGGGAAAGCTTTTAGCACCAGAGGCAAATGTGTTAGGCACCAGAAAATGCACTCTGGAGAAAAGCCTTATGAGTGCAACGACTGTGGGAAATCTTTTGCCTGCAACTCCAACCTCCAAGTACACCAGAGAGCTCACATGGGATCAAGGTCTAATGAGTGTGCTGAGTGTGGGAAATCTTTTGTCAGAAAATCTCATCTTATTCAGCACCAGAGAACACACGGCGGAGCAAAACCTTATGAGTGCAGTGAATGTGGGAAAGCCTTTGGCCGCAAAGACACACTTACTCAGCACCAAAAAATTCACAGTGGAGAAAGGCCTTTTATGTGCAGCCGATGTGGGAAAGCCTTTCTCCGCAAAGATGCACTTGCTGAGCACCAGAAAAGCCACACTGGAGAGAGGTCTTACGAGTGTGATAGATGTGGGAAATTCTTTAGCCACAGTTCCTACGTTAAAGTACATAAGAGAATTCACAGTGGAGCAAAACCTTATGTGTGCGGTGACTGTGGGAAAGCCTATGTCAGTCACTCCCAGCTTCTTCAACACATGAAAGTTCACACCACAAGGCCGATGGATGAAGTGAATGTGGGCAACTCTCTGGTGACAGATCCAACCTCATCATGCACCGGAGACATAACATCAGAGCAAAGCCGTATGTGTTCAGCAAACATGGGAGGGCCTACAGAAGGCCCTCCCACCGGGCTTGGCACATAAAAGTTCATATCAAAGAAAGGCTTCCTATGTGTGTGAGTTTTGGTGATCCTTTAGCTACATCTTTTAAGTTCATTTAGCACCAGGAACTTCACACCAAAGGGAAGCCTTAAGAGAGCAGGGAATGCGCTTTCTCCTTGCTCAACATAATATGACTCATAAAAGAGAAAAGCTCTGAAAGTAGCCTTTCAGATGGGGTCAATATCCCGAAGTTGAACTTCGTACATGCAGGCATCCATGCTGGGGAG